GCCCAAGCACGAGACCCCTGAAGCCACTATTGCTGCAGCCAGCTGGCTGGAACACCGAAAAGGTGCAAACGACCGCCACTGCCGCGAAGTAGAGCTCACACCTAGGCGCCACAAAACTGTGAAAGCTCCGAGTGACTTCCATGACAGGCTTGCACTCGCTCATGGGCTTAAGCAAGAAATTGACGAGCCGCTGTACTAGCAGATTCTGAGGCGCTTGGAGGATCATGGGACTCAGTAACCAAGGTTTGAAGTTAAGGTAGCTAGAGTCATAGCTACTCATAACCCCCCATGAGAGTACTTAAAACCCGTACTTACCAAGTTCCTTGATTCTCCAAGCACGAGTAACCTGCCGCCCCTAATGTAGTGGCGGGAGTCATAGAAGCGGCTGAAATGCTTTCCTCCCACGTACTGACTCTCGAGGCCCAGATGCGGCCAATGTAATAGAACTTAATGCGGTCGCACAGATGGCGTGCAAATAAAGGGACGAAAGATGCACTTCACCACAGCGGGAGTTAGGGGAACCCCAGTGTTAAGCCCCCATACCCAAATACCTAACCCAATAACAAAACAGAAAAGTGCAACCTGAATCCTCAAAACTCAATTAAGCACCACAACAAATTCAATTACAGCCCCCTAGACCCTGAATCCCTAAGCCCCAAAACCTAAACCCTGAACTCGACCCTAAACCCCAAAAGCTCTAAGCGCTTGGCTCGACCGGGCACCTGAAACCAGCATTGGTGCCGTCTTTTTGTCTGCTGGCGGGATGGAATTTGACGACACACCTCGTCGTGTTAACGACGTGCGTATGACGACCAAAAGGGTCCACTAAGGAGTATACCAACCTGAAGATTCAAAGGATTCGGTGCCAGGGTTGAGGTTTCGGGGTTCGGGCTTAGGGGCTACCATGTTCAGCCCAAAGAGATGGACCCTTTGGGTACAGGAAGCAGTCGTCCAATCAGTGATGATGTTGAGTGGATCCGGTTCATCGGCCCGGCATGCAGTAAGACATGCTTGGGTTGAGGTTTGAAATGGAGGGTGTCGGGGCAGTTCTTAGGGCTTAGACTTTTCGGATCAGGGGTAACGAGTGACGGGGACGGGATCCGGCGATAAGGATCTAGCTTAGGGCTAAAAGGCTTAGCCTTACAGGAACAAGGAGTCCTTGACAGCAGATCCCTTAAACAGCGTCTCTTACCATCTGTTTGCTTGGAGGCTTAGCAAACAACTGCCGAGTTTCCCTAAACCCTAAATCCCAAACCCCAAACCCGGTTTGGGAATCGAAGCCGTGACCATGCTGACTAACCAGTAGCCTTAAAGTGGACTGGACTGTTGTGGGGCAGGGTTCTGAAAAGAAGCGACATATGATTCAGGTGTCTTCATGATTCTTGGTTTTGCTATTTCGGGTGCATCTGCTGAAACTCCCGTACACCCAACACCAATTCCGGCAACGAAAAGGCGGTAGATAAGAATGCACATGGCGGCTCGTGTCTAAAGGCTGTGTCTCATCTAAGCCAGAGAAGCCACCGGCTCTTCTGCTTGGGTCTGTGGCAACAGCTGTTGAGCTTTGGTGGAGTTGTTAATTACCGGGGACTCAGCCTAGCTTGGCATGACAAACATGGGGGCCTTAATAAATAGAATAAGGTTTTGGTGTATATTATACTACAATAATTATGATAGGGAACCCCCAGAACAGTATAGGTAATTATCAGGGCCCCTATGTTCGTCTCATATCTATGCTCACAACAACCCGGCTAGAGCTTGATTAGGGCTGAGGTGTGAGGTAGACGGTATAGAGTTGAAGGTTTAGGGAAAGCATCGAATTTCATAGTGTCTTGCCAAAAAAGCCACCACGTGCAAAAGCGAAGTCGATTGCCTCCGCGTTCGTCGACAGGACGGGATGTAAACTTCAACACTTCTGCGTGGGCGTTGGGCTCAAGTTTTGGAAATCATAAGGGTGAGCTTATCAGCTTACGCTTAAGGGGAGGGCAGCCGTCCCAAACACGTTATCTTGACAGCGAAACCCACCTCTTGCATCAGGCATGACATACAGCACGACATGCAACACTGGCCATAGCTTACACTAGAATCCCAAACCCTCACATCAGTAGCCACTCTAGCGCCCTCACCGATCAACCCTGAACTCAAGAAGACCTAACAACATTGACGTTGAAGCTTCAACTCCGAGGCAGGCCTCCAAGTCTGCTTTTAATCTGTTTGAGGTTTTCAGGGTTTGGGGCTTCGGGGCGAGACCAATTTCGGCTGTGAGCTGAATTCCATCAGAATGCATTAGACAATGTGGAATGCTTCGAAGATGCTGCTCAAGGCAGGAAGTGCTGCTGCACTTGCAGTTCCCTCTGCGCAAATGCAAGCTCGAAGTGGCAGCAAGTGTGCATGTGCAACGCCACAGAAATCCTCCGGTCTCTATCCAATGTACGCAGGGCTGCAGCAATGTAGATCCTTCAGCCTCAACTTCTACAAGTGCCTGAAGGATAGACTTTGTGGGGCGTCGTGTGAATTCGTGTGCTGACGCGATTTGGTTCAACGCCTAGGTTGAGAGACCGCTTCAGACCTGGACTGATCGAGAGAGTAGGAATCGGCTTCAGCGTTGAAACACTGCGTTGCATGTAGTAGGGTTTAGGGTTTAGCGCATGCATTCGGCCGTTGGCGTTCAAGGCAGCTCTGCAACACGGGGTGGACACGGAAGATGTGCCACTGGTAGGTTTTTCGGAGGTTCCGGAAACAAGGCACATATGGACCACGGTGCGAACAGGATTCTGAGAGCTTGAGGGGTAACAAGCAGAAGTCCCAATAGTTTTCAGGAACCTCCCAGATGTCTTGGCGGGTGCTTCCCAAACATCCCCTGGCTATGACCCATTTTGTGAAACGGCTGTTGCCTTTGTCTCGGCCATCCAGGCACGAGAATCACCTCTTGCAGGGCCTTGGCAACGAAACGCTCTTGGTGCCCTTAGTAGGATATTAATTCGGGTTATCGTACTTGTAACTCCATAAAGTTACTACTTACTAAAGTCCCCCGGTCTTCCAAGTCACGACAAGCACAACACGAAGTGGATCCAGGGTCCACAGGCTTTGGGCCAAGGTTGCTATATCTCAGGGAAGAAGCGGAAGAAGGCTCTACGCAAACAACTTTGGGGGACAAGTTTACTTTATGTGCACATCACCGTTTATCCTCCCACTTGGAGGTAAGAGACACGTCTCTCTATCTTCGTTTGGGGGTGACTCCTGTTTGGGGGTTTAAGGTTACTGTGCCTCTTCAGTGCATTGTTTTCGCCGCTGACACTCCTTTCGGCCCCAGATCCGAGCATCGTAAGGCACTTAGACAACATGGGTACCTGTCAACACGGGATAGTGCAAAGCAGCGGCACTTGGAACTTATAAATTTCAATCTTGTGTAAACTTGGATTCTAATCCTGAAGAAATACCTTTATGAGCCTTATACTTAAACCACGACAAGAATTCTAGCCGCTCCAGGAACACAAAAAAACAACACCTGTTCAGGGCTCCTCACTATGATAGGTCTTTAGGGTCCAGGTACGCAACAGTGCCCAGCGAAGTATCCTAAACCCTAAATCCTAAAACAACCAAGGGAGCTTCAGGCCAGGCGGCTGTGCGCTTGGCGCGACGCTCCTGGAGCAGGCACGATCCGAAATCCAAAACCACCTAAAACTAGTTTGGGTTTAGGTTTTAGGGCTTACTGTAGTGTAGGGACCAGAAACCGTTAAACACCAACTCGCATTGTGACATGTTGCTTTGAACACCAGCTCGCTTTTCAAGTGGCGTTTTGAAGAACTGGCGCTTCAAGACTATCATAGTTACAATCCGTGCGAGTGTGGACTCGAGGCTTAGGAAAAGAGGCTGAAAGGAAAGAGGCTTAGGGCTTGAGCTCTGTAGGGTGTAGGGCAGGTGTCGGGAATGCCATCTAGGATTGACGTTAAATGCCTCGAATGTGCGCCTGTCGCAGGTTCGGGCTTATGTATATAGGAGGTCTTTCTCATTCGGAGTGGGTTTAGGGTTTGGGGCTGTCTCAAGATCAACCTCAAACCCTAAAGAACTCAAACCTGAAACCCCCAAATGCAGGAGCGTAGGGTCTGGGACCAAGAATTCATGGTTTCGGGGTCCTGGGGCCTGATTCTGGGGCTGAGGGGTCTATGGTTGAGGGCTGTCTTGAGCCGGCTGGTGCAGGGTTTAGGGCCAAGGTCTTGGGGTCAGGGTTGAGGGTGTAGGGTATGGGGCTCAGGGCTTAGAATCATGGGGCCAAGAAACAACAAGTGCAATCAAGATTGGGGGGCGAGCCAAACGCAAGAGTCACGAATGCAACCTGCTAACTTGTGGGTTGCAGGGCTTCGGGTCTTTATCATTCTGGGTAGTTCTCGAAATTAGTGTGCCCTCTGCCACACCTTATAGGGAGGACCCCAGAATGAACCCTAATTTGGAGAACTGCCCTTATAGGGTCCAGGATTTTGGCTTCAGGGTCAGGGCCACAAGTATGGTTAGCCTGCCTGCAATATGCACAAGCCGTGGCGATTAAAACATGAGCTTCAACTCTAAACCCTCAGACCCTCTACCTAAACGCCAGCTTTCGGTTTAGGGTTTAGGGTTTAGGGTGCTCTACATCCCAAAGCTGAATCCCAAATGAAATTATGAGCGATGTGACAGGCTCAGGGTGTCGTTCAGAAGAGCTTCCGTATGGATCCAAGCATCATCTGCATGGCTTTACGAGCTGTGACCGACTTCGGGCTGCCGGGCTGACCATCAAGTTGCCATAACCCTAAACCCTAAATAAATCCCCAAAAAACCCCAAAACAAGACATACGGAGATTTTGCGATGAAGCCCCGGAAGCGGCTCCAAAGGCAAAAAGCTGCCATAAATGCCTGAAATCACGCCCATGCCACCCTAAACCCTCAACCCTAAACCCACCGTACGTACGCCCTTATATGGATCCTTATACAGTAATCCTTAACCCAGACCCTCCCGGCGCCTGCACTCAAAGGATGTATGTCCCGCCGCCTATGTTTACGTCATCCATGGTGCCCATGCCACCGGTTTTGGTCCGATTCCTGGGCGATTACGGACGTCCGTACGGACTAGGGTTCAGGATGTAGAGCTATACGGGAGTTTCCGAAATGAGGGGTCCCCATATGTAGGGGTCCTTATAATAAGGACCCTACTATTTAGGGTACTATATTCGGGTCCCCTATTTTCGGAAACCTCCAAACAGGCTTGTGGGGTTTTGGGAGTAGGATCCGGGAAGGTCCCAACTTCCAGGCCCGAAGACTATGTGTGGGCAACTGAGGCACTTAAAGGGGCTTATGGTCACTATAAGTCCAAACCTCAAATCCCAGACTCTCATGTGCCGGCATGAAGGAAGTTGAAAAAACTAAGGCTGGCGAAATCGATGGCCCACTCCCGCAAGCGAGGGATGCTGAACATCAACACAACAACCCACCAATCGAGACCCGTCCACAGGGCTTTGTAACGTAGGGAGTGCCGTTCGCAAGTGTCGTCGCGAGTCGAAGCCAAACACCCCTCGCCCCCCAACCGCACCGTCAAACCTCCGAGGCCCTTAACCCTGCATGAAGCTCAGACTGTGTACCCAGTGTACCCCCAGCTTCGAAACTGCGAAAACAAAGCCGTAAAACCGATCTGGCTCAAACCCCATACCGCATTAGAAGGGCCTCGACAAAAAGCATGAATGTTCGGGGTATACTTGCAGACAGTCAATCAAGCAAGGTCCCTCTCCGTGCACATCAGGTGTCAGTGCCGTTCGATGCAGAAACCTGGTCCAGTGTGACTGGGCTTTTGCTCACGAAGTTATCGTTGCCAGAAGCATCGGAGAGGTTAATGGGTAGTTCTCTAAACTAGGCTCCCTTTTTGGGTCCCCAATATAGTACGGCACCCTTATAAAAAGGACCCTGAAAGGGACCCTAATTTAGAAAACTACCCTAATGGTGAAAGGCAAGCTTTCATGATGATCGTGGCGTTTTTACTGACGTCGTCAGCTAGAGCCAGAATGACTCGCTTGTCCGAGTACATAGTCGTAGTACGACAGACCGATTATACTTTGTAACATCCTATACCAAAAAGACCTAAACCGACACTACGGGGAGATTCTTACTTCTTAGACATCGACTTAATGAGCCTGGACAGAATTCAACTTTCAGTTCTACGGGGGATCGCATGACCCCAGACAACTTGAAACTGTCAGTTTCCGCTGCCAGGACTGCTGCCAAAACCCTACCACCCTCGACCCCAACCTCTAGACCCCCAAACACCAAACCCTGAAGACTCACCCTAAACCCTAAACCCAAAACCCTGAATCCTAAACCCTAAACCCCAAACCCTAAACCCTAAACCACCCATAAATTTAACCCTACGGCCCCGACAAAACCTTTGACTCGTGTCTTCGGCTTCAGTGGCTTATATTTATATATGAGGTTTAAGGTTATAGGGCTTATAATAATGGGGATTATGGGGTTCTTTCTGTTTGTTTGTAGGGTTTACAATCCTTGGTCCGCGTAAGGCTTGTAGAATTCCAAGCTGCTGTGATGTAGGCTTCATTTAGGGTGTACGGAATTAGGCGTTTGTGGGGTTAGTGGTCATGCTTGTCGAATCTATAAGAAGTATGGTGGAGTGGCGTATATGCCTGGGTTAGAACCGAAACTGAACAGACAACCGCAAAGACTTGAGATCGGAGTTCTGTACCTCTGCAGGTGAGGTTTCTTGTGGTCTGAGTCTGAGGACACATCTGGTAGGTCCCTGGAGTTCACTTTGTCCTCGGGTCCAGGGTTCGGTACTAAGATGCTTCCCAGGAGCATTTGTGCGGCCTGTGAGGCTCGTCTCTTTCTGCCGGACTCCTGCAGCAAACAAAACGTAAGACTGTCCATAGTCTCCACACTGTAGTTCGTATTGTTAGGGGTCCTACAATCCACAGCAATTGAACCAAAAAAAGACAGTACCACTCAAACGATGTATGCTTGCTGGTCCAACCCTTCATCGAGCTTAGGCACTTCGAACCCAAACTCGGCAGCACACATCCACGCATGTGTGTGTGTACGCCTCCATACAAGCATGTGCATGTTTGGCTGTAATTGCACAGGTAGGCGAGCGACGCACGACTAACTCATGCATGCTTGAGTGCATCTATCCATCTGACTATCTCTCAAGCTATCAACTGATCTACAAACATCTGCTTGTGGTTCCGTGTCCATTGATTGTTCATCCGTTTGTAACTGAACTGCGCATGTAACTCTAGTCATGCGTGTGCACGAATCTCCGCACATGCATGCATGCATGCATACATACATACATTCACATACATTCACATACATTCACATACATTCACATACATTCACATACATTCACATACATTCACATACATTCACATACATACATACATACATACATACATACATACATATCCATTTAAAGCCTGATAGAATCTTAGCCAGATAGAGGTAGAAGCTTAAGCATCCGTGGGTTTGGTCCAGCCCATATGCAGAGACGACCAGCTCGTCAAACAGCGACGTCAATAGACAGGTTTGATACTTGGGGGCTGGGTAGGTAACCGTAAACCTTGGGGGGCTTATATAATCTTACTATAACTTTTAACAGTCTCGAACGGTTAAGGTTTTTTGGGATAAGGCATTGAGCCCCTACGACTTCAACCTGGAAGAACGATGTTGACTGCAGTCTTGGTGTTTTTGTGTCACTAGAATCATTCTGTAAAAGCCCCGAAAGGCCCTCATCCCTAAACCACCAGGCCCGACACCCTAAACCCTAAAGCTCGAAACCCAAAGGCCCGAAACCACGAACAGGCTCACCCCTTTGGGTCCCTCGGGTTTGGGCATGAAACCTGCCACGTAGCCGGGTCTGAATGGGAGCAAGTTTTTCAAGAAGGAGTCCCAACAAATCGGCGAACCTGATATTAAGGCCGTAAACCCTTAAGGCTCAGACTAGCCCAGAAGCCTTACGTAGTACGGTTTTTTGTGCCCAAAGCCTCAACCTGTGAGCTCTTAGAGCCGGAACCCTGAAACCGAAACCCCAAACCTTTTTGTTCTTCAGCGGTGGCCTCGGTGCCGGGATGGCTCATGTCAAGATGCAATATGCCACGATCACCATGTTTTTGTTGGCCCTCCCAGCTCGTCCTGCTTGCGTTCGGCACAACAGAAGAGCAGCACCCGCAATTCGAAACGTGCGTCGCTACTCAGAACGGACTGAACATCAAGCCGATGTATGAAGTCACATCCGTTACACTCGTGAAGCTCTTCAAAGCCGAAGAGGCTCACCAAGAAGCTGTGACAAACCGGGATAAGCTGAAATGGCTGCGCGTGTTTCCAGAGCGATCGCTCATGGGGACCCGCTTGATGCGGGACGTCGTCGCACATTTGCAAGCCTCCTAATTGCAGGTCACGAAACGTTTGCAATTTTGCGCAGCCGCTCTTCAGAGGGTTAGGGGCCACTTGGAGCGAAGAAGCTTTTGGAAACGCCGAGAGCTAGAGGGCAAAGCGAACAAGGCCCATGAGATGAGTTCCAAAGAGGCTTGGGAGTGTTGCACTTACAGTCGGACGCTCTCTTTTTGGAGTTCAGCTGCTTGCCCCTTTCTGCAGGCTCACGAAGCATCCAATAGAAAAAGAGACCCCTAAACCCTAAACCCCCTCCACGCCTTGAGCTTCAAGGTTTAGAGTTAAGGGTTTAGTGCTTTGTAAAGGTCTGGGGCCGGGGGTTTCGTGTTTAGGGGTTTAGGGTTTAGGGTTCAGGGTTTTAGGGTTTAGGGTTTAGGATTTGGGGTTAAAGCTTTAGTAGGTTTAGGATTCAGGGTTTAGGGTTTAGGGTTTAGGGTTTGGGGGTTACAGCTTTAGTAGGTTATCTGCGCTGCTGCGAGTAGCATTTTTGTTTGCCAGAACACCCACAACCTCCAACCCTAAACTGCGTCATAGTTGTCGAAACCTCAAACCCTAAACTAGGCCATACTCGGCCCTAAACTCAAAGCCCGAAACCCTATACTCAAGACCCTAAACCCTAAACCCTAAACCCTAAACCCTAAACCCTAAACCCTAAACCCTAAACCCTAACCCTAAACCCTAACCCTAAGCCGTAAACATTGGCCAAGGAAAGTGGAGGTCTTCCCCCTTCTCGGCTACAACTTGGACGAGGCTTCCGGGGACTTGCGCTACACTGTATCTTACTCCCTAAGGGTTAGGGTTCAGGGTTTAGGGTTTAGGGGTTTAAGGTTTAGGGTTTAGGGTTTAGGGTTTAGGGTTTAGGACCCTAAACCCCTAAACCCCTAAACTTTAAACCCTCAAGCCCATTCCTTAAACCCTAAACCCTAAACCCTCTCCATCAGATCTGTGGGCTTTGGGGCTTTGGGTTTATAGCCTAGGGATGTGCAAGGTTTAGGTTTAGGGTTGAGGGCTTTGGGGTGTAGAGTCTTTAGGGGTTTAGGGTGTAGGGCTTCATGCACGCCCCTGATTCATAGACTGCCTTTCTTGAAGAGCCAAGTATCGCGCAGTATTCCATGATAGTAGCCCTAAACCCTAAACCCTAAACCCTAAACCCTAAACCCTAAACCCTAAACCGTAAACCGTAAACCGTAACGACCAAGACCCTAAATCCACCCAACATAAACACCTACTTCCCCTGTTTAAGAAATCTTCCTCAGATTATGGAAGGATTCTCAAACCCTAAACTCTGAACCCTAAATCACCTAACCCCCTAAAACTCTGCCTTAACCCTGAGCATCAAAATAGCCCAAAAGCCTTATATAACGGGGTCTTTGGGCCCAAAAGCCTTAAAAGATGAGTCCCTGAGGGTAAACCCTACACCCTATACCCTAAAGCCCGAAACCCCTAAACCCCTAAACCCCTAAACTCCTAAACCCCTAAACCCCTAAACCCCTAAACCCCTAAACCCCTAAACCCTAAACCCCAAAGATTGCATTCTTCAAAGGGTTTGGTCCAAGCTGAAACTAGAAGCAACACCGTACTCGAAACGCCCCCAAAAATTTCGGTTTAGGGTTTTAGGGTTTAGGGGTTTATAGGGGTTTAGGGGTTTAGGGTTTAGGGGTTAGGGGTGTGGGGTTTAGGGGTTTAGGGGTTTAGGGGTTTAGGGGTTTAGGGTTTAGGGTTTAGGGGTTTAGGGTTTAGGATCCGTCTTAGGGTTCCTTTACAGAGTCCGACAGGGGTTGTTTCAAGGGTTTCGCATAGGGGCCCTAATAATTATAGTAGGGTTTGGGGGCATAGCGTCTTAGGGTTTCGCATCTTAGGGTTTAGGGTTTTGGGTTTAGGATCTTGGGTTTAGGGCTCAGGATCTGGGAATCTTAAAGTTCAATCTGTAGAGTTTAGGGTTTGGGTTTAGGATTTAAGGCCTAGGGTTTGGGGTTTAGGGTTTAGGATCTATGCGTTTGAGGCTTGGGGTTTATGAGATTCGAGTCGAGGGATACAGGGGCGGGACTTTATGGAGTAGGGTTGAGAATTTTTGGTTTAGGGATTGGGGCTCAGGGGGTTTAGGAGCTAGGGGCTTAGAGTTGATACGCACCTGCGAGGAGTCTTAATCCGAAGGATCAGACTTCAAACCTGTAGGCCTACATCCTGAAGCTTGAAGCGATGAGCGCTTTCAGGGCTTAGGGGGTTTGGGGTTCAGGGTTTAGGTTAAACCCTAAACCCTGAACCAAATAAGCCCTAAGCCCTAAACCCTAAACCCTAAACCAAACAAGCCCTAAACCCTAACCCAAGAAGCCCTAAGCCCTAAACCCTAAACCCTAAACCAAATAAGCCCTGAGCCCTAAACCCTAAGCCCTAAACCCTAAACCAAATAAGCCACGAAAACCGCTCCTGGACCACAGCGGCTTCGACCTCCCAGCAAAGAACCCTACCCTCCGAAACCCCCGACTCGAGAGGATCGCCACAAAGGCACCCAGTTGAACAGGCACAAAAAAATAGCTACAGATAGAACTATATATAGGTGTAGCTAAAGATTGTGCCATAGATATAGCTATAGGAGCTATAGGTACTACCGATATAACTATAGAAAAGATTATCGCCACCGATATGGGTATGACCAAACTTGAACCCTAAACCCGAAACCCTAAACCCTAAACCCCAAACCCTAAACCCCAAACCCTAAACCCTAAACCCTAAACCCTAAACCCTCCCCGCCTCGCCCCAGCCCTGGAAGTTCTTCACGCGGCCGTGGCAGTCGCTCGAGATCAAGCAGCAGAGGTCTCCCTCGTAGCGAGTGCCGACCTTTTTGTGGGTGGGTTTAGGGTTTAGGGTTTAGGGTTTAGGGTTTAGGGTTTAGGGATTAGGGTTTCGGGTTTAGGGTTTAGGGTTTAGGTGGGGCTTATGGCTTTTTCAGCTTAATATAGGGGCCGAAATAATTACCTATACAATTGGGGGGGGCACTCAGAGAAGTACACACAGACGGTAACACGCTGAACTGTCAAACGCTTCGTCAAACAACACTCCCCCATGCATTCACGACCTTATAGGGACAGGAAACCCAACACGACTCGACGTGAAACATATGCGAACCTGAATGGGGCCTGTATGGCCTATGTACTAGCATGCGGGTTTTGGAATACATCATACTTCGGGTACTCCGGTGTCATACAGAACTTCTAGGTACTCAAGGCCGAACCCGAAACCGTACATTCCAAACCTTAAACTTTGAACCTCAACGAGTAATTTGAGGCCCTTAGTAATTAGAATAGGGTTTTGGGGCCCTTTTTCAATAATTACAATAAGGAGCCCCCCAAAATAGTATTTAAGGCCCCTAAACCCTAAACCCTAAACCCTAAACCCTAAACCCTAAACCCTAAACCCTAAACCCTTACCTCAAGTACGCAGGGACCTGGACCCACTCCACCGGGTTGTTGGCGTCCTCCGCATTTCTGACAGGCGTCCACATCTCGTACTTCCTGCGAGACGATCCATCTTTCGGGTTGTAGGTTGGGGCTTTCGGATTTAGGGTTTAGGGTTGTAGGGTTGTAGGTTGGGGCTTTCGGGTTTAGGGTTTAGGGTTTAGGGTTTAGGGTTTAGGTTGGGGCTTTCGGGTTTAGGGTTTAGGATTCGGGGTTTGGGTTTAGGGCAACCTGGGCAGAAGGCATTGCACACCAAATGCGGGAAGATAAATCTTACCACATCCAACGCAAGCTATACCATGGACTTGGTCTTCGGGTCTTTGGATCTTGCGGATCGGTGTTTCGGGCTGGGGTGCGGGATCCAGGGCTGGTGAATGCTGGATTTCCTTGATTCGAAGGAGATTCAACGGACAACGAAGCTGACTTACAACATGCAAAGGCTGCACAAAACCTACCTGCAGGACTCTGTAAGAAACCTTTCGCAAAAACTATACTATACACCTCTCGACTCGAAACTTCACAGTTTAATACACAAACCAAAGCACCGCACTCGCAGGGTCTTCTGTCTGGTCGGGGAATGGATCCCTATGATAGTTTGTTAAGGTCCCTTATGGTAGTCCCTATAACCCATTCCCCCATTCCCTACTAAGTACCAGACAGCTGCTAAGCCCTAAACCCTAAACCTTAAACCCTAAACCCTAAACCCTAAACCTTAAACCCTAAACCCTGAACCCTAAACTGTAAACCCTAAACCTTAAACCCTAAACCCTAAACCCAGACAGTCTTCAAAAGCCGAGGAGCTTCTGCCCACCAGGAATGGCAGGATCTTTACTGCGGCCGTCTGGACACACCTGGCAGGAATGCATCTGAAGCTAAGAAACCACAAACGTCGGTTCAGGGTTGAGGGTGTAGGGGTTAGGGTTTAGGGGTTTAGGGTTTAGGAGTTTAGGGTTTGGGGTTGAGGGTTTGGGGTTTAGGGTTTGGGGTTTAGGGTTCAGGGTTTAGGGATTTTTGAACCGACCCCTTTTTCCCTCTACTCCGCTCTATGGAAATGGGTTTAGGGTCTAGGGTTTGGAAGCTGCGAACCTGAGTGATTAGACTTTTTCTCGGGGAAACTCGTACTCTCGGGCATCGTAGCAGCTGTCCGTGTGCGTTGCGTGTGCTGAGGATTGCGTGTGCTGAGAGACCTAAACCCTAGACCCTACCTTTTAGAGTCGCAGGCTTTGACGTACTGTTCTTGGTGCGCCTGCCAAATCCCAAAACAAAAAAACAAATGCCCCCGGTGCCGCGCCAGTGATTATTTAGAGTTCAAGGTCAGGAGAGGCATCCCAGCAGTCGCACTTTCCGAACCAGCTGCAGCCAATCCATGCCCACAATCGAACGCCGAGCTTAAGCGTGAAAATAGATTCCATGTTACCATGCTTCGAAGCCCAGCACTGGCCCTGCACCTCAAAGCCGAAGAGCATTCATGTTACACTCATGAATCTCGGCAGGGACCCTGGTTCGGGCGTAAGCCCCAAAATCTGCCCTAAACCCTAAACCCTAGACCCTAAACCCCAAACCCTGGACCCTAAACCTTAAAACCCTGGACCCTAAACTCTAAACCCCCTGCAGCCTTCTTGTAGTCGCAGAGCTTCTTCCCCTCGCAGGTCAGGATTTTGGGAATACAGTAGGGGCCTTTTTTGGTTTGGGTTTTTGGGGTATGTTATACTATAAATAAGGAACCCCCACAATAGTATAGGTAATGTTGAAGACCCCGATATTACAGTTGGAAGGTCTAAGGCTCCTGCGGCCATTCGTAGGGTGTAAAGGTTGTGGGGGTTTGAGATTATAGGGTTTAGTGGCTTGGGGTTTAGGGTTTAGGGTTTAGGGTGGAGGAGTTAGGGTTCAGGGTCTGGTTTAGGGTTTAAGGTTCAGGTTGTAGGGTTTAGGGTTTTGGGTGTGGGGGTTTAGGGTTTAGGGTTTAGGGTTCAGCAGCTCCGGATCGAGCAGTTTTTAAGTATAGCGGTATTCAAGGCTTTGATAGAACACCCACCCACCCTCAGAATCCCATAACATTAAGAAAATACAAAGTTCGTTTTATTATTCTTTAGCCAAGTTCTTTTCACGAAGTTCGTTTTATTATTCCTTAGCGAAGTTCTCTACAACTTAGCGTCATACCTT